AGCTATACGAATTCAGCGAAAATCTTGAGAAAACCAGTCACTCACACTGGAGTAATTCCAGGACAGCCACCAACGCAGTTTCTATCGACGCTTCTTGCAAAAAACTCGCAAAACTTCGTGCAAAACAGCACAATGAATGAAACTCCAGGCGGTTCATCGGCGAAACATCGGCAGGTTATCGGCGAGTCCACCCTCGCGACTCACGCCACAACAGCCGACACCATCGACTGCGATGGCACGACCCTGTTGACCTTCATCCCGGGCGGGCCCCCTTTCAGGGAAGTGGCATCGATCGTCCAGGAATACTCATTTCTCAATCTGGATGGATCCATTCATATTTGATGCTCCTATTGTTTCCCTATATTGTTTGCTTGCGGGGGGTTTCCGCTAAATCTGGCTCTGTGGCAATCCGATTCAGAGCAGGAAATTGCTTCGCGTGCCACGACAGCCCTCCTTCGTGCCATGACAGCCCTCCACCGTGTCAAGATAGCGCTCCATCATGCCATAACACCGAACCGCGTCATGACAGCCCTCCACGGCGCCATGATCGCCCTCATCTTTCAAGGGCGCTCGAAACCCACATCCATCACGAGAAAAGAATGGATTGAATGGATTGCACGTTTTATTACCAACAAGGTATGGATTCCGTCGCCGCAGGAGGAACGGGGGAAGTATCACATACGCATGAAAGCTGCCCGGGCCGGAGGATGGAATAACAATATGCAATATTAATATGCGATATTAATAATGCAATATTAATAGCGAGGGTCACTCCGGACCGGGAAAGAGACAGAGAGAGAGAAAGAGAGCAACGCGGTTCATCGGGAATTGCAAGGTCGAAAAGTGCGTGCTGAAAATACCAAATAAAGTCATTTAAAAAAAAAAAAAAAAACTGAAAATGCGTAAAAAAAAAAAAATTTTGAGTCGAGAACAATTTTCAGTCGGTTTTGTCAGCTTCTGCGTCTGATCCCTCGCTGTCGCTCCGGGAATCCTTTGGCAATTCCTGCAAACGAAACATATTATTTACATCTTATCCATCCTCACACCATTTATTACATTCTCCCCTTCAACTCACCTTACTAGCCAGAGCCCTATAGATGGCCCTCAGGAGATGATGCGTCCAATAGAGATGGAGGCCGTAGAGGACCCAGAGCAAGGAGATGAGGAACGGTCCCATTATGTTGCCCTCCCAGCGGACGGCGTCCCAGTCGTATATCATCCTCACGCCCCTGTTGGGAGATATACGAGAGTTATACGGGATTCCCTCAGAGTTATGCGGGATTCCCCGCTACGGGCAGGGCGATTGCCTCGGCGTTTCTCGTATGTATTTGCTGTCTCCGCGTTACAAATTAGGGTCTCTCTAACAGAATTGTCGGGGGATCCTGAATATTACAGGAGGATCTTGACTATTACAGGGGGATCCTATCTATTACAGGGGGATCCTATCTATTACAGGGGGCTCGGTCCCCAAAGGACGATTGAATTTTTTTTTTCTAACAAAATTTCCCTCGCAAACATTCCCCTCACGTCCCGTTCCCGGTCACGACCGACCCCGGAACAGCAGGTCGATCCAGCCGACTATATATAGAAGTGTTGTTCCGCCATTACACCATTACAGCGGCGGGCATGAAGCTCCCGGCGGAGCGACTTGGCCGACATGGTCGGACAGCAAGAGACCGGATCAGGTGCAGGGTTGCTTTTTGCCTGACGGCAACTCAGATTTAGAATTACTTTTCATATTGAATTTCCAACTTTCTCATTAACAAAAACGAAAAAAAAAAACCGGTAAAAGAAAAGAGCCTCCAGTAATTCGTACAGCAATTGCAACTTTCGGAAGCAACCCTGAACCCCGAGGCAACACTTCCAGAAACTCTGGCATCATCCATCCCAGGAACCCAAAAGGAACCCAAAAGAAACCCAAAGGAACCCAAAAGAAACCCAAAGGAACCCAAAAGAAACCCAAAGGCAAGGAGATAAACTCACGGCACAATGATGTAAATGGGGAAGACGAAGACTCGGGTGGCGATCCAGACGACCGTCAAGAGCGCAAAGAGAGTCAGGCTGACCTTGTCGCTCAGACCCATGTATTGCGACAGCTTCCCTCCCTGCGACAAAATATATAAATGGCTACAAATCACGCGACGCCGAAACGAACCTATATCGACAAATGGATATCAGATGTTCCCGGAAATTCCTCTACATTAATCATTTTACATTCATTTATATTCCTATAAATTATATTTATCTCTACCCGCATTTATTATACACATAAATATTTTTTTAAAGTCAACCCAGAAACAAACGGCATCCGCCGCATTACAATGCATACAGAGGAAGGGAGTGCCCCCTTGGCACAGGCACCACGCCCAAATCGCAGTGCCTCATGCGAGGATGTCCTATAGGACATTTGCCGTGAGCTGGTCTCATTAGGACCGTCTTGCCGAGGCCATCATCAGTTATTTTTAAGGCATACTGCATTAGTATTTCCTATAAGTGGGTCGCCCTGTCGGTGGGTCGCCCATCGGTGGGTCGCCCGTCGGTGGGTCGCCCGGGTCAAAATCGGAAGTCTGTATCGATTCTAATTTTTCCATTCTGGTTGTAATGCCCGCTGCATTTCGACGGTGGAAGCGGAACTCCACAATAGAAAAGCACGGGGATCAACATATGAAAGAGGAAACGAGCGAGGGCAGCCTCATCATGTATGCGCAAGCTGGCGGAAATTCGCCCCCATCCAGAGCCCGGGCCCTTTAATGTTATCTTTCAATTTGTGCAGGCTTGTTCCGTCTGCACGCAAAGCAGGATGTCCCCGCAGCTGCGAGGTTTCGCGAAGGGATGAAAGCCATCGGATGAGAGCCATCGGATGAGAGCCATCGGATGAGAGGCATCGCATCCCGCCCGGCGAGGATGCCTGAAGAGACAAAATTCCCTTTTTTTGTCCCCGAGAGTGAGTGAAGAGAATCTCGACGTCATGCTTCCGGGGCGCTATTGATCAATCGGAGAGTCCACTGCGTCAATGCAGGTTGACACTAGCCGATTCCCTTTCCTACGGTCGATTCCCTCCATTCCAGCCGATTCCCTCGCTACTCAACGACTCCTTAGCTCTTACTCTATTCCAGCTGATCTTAACAAATACAGTGAAAACTCGTTAACTCGAACTTTTAGGGACCGGG